AGGTTATGAAATACTAGATTATAACCCGTGTATCAACGCGGGTTAACACATTTAAAATTATTAATATCAAAATTTAAGTTTTATTTAGTAACCCGTTAAATTAAAAAAAAATATTTTGATATATTTAAACATGAATTTTAAAACATTAAAATTAAATTTATATCTTAATTCTCATGTCCAAATTCATATTATGCAGACCCAAAAATATATATACATAAATAGAATTAAAATCATATCATTAATAACAAAAAGATATTCTTACAACAATTAACTATGTGATAAAATCTTGTAACAATTAAAATATTATAGAGTTAATTCATAAAACAATACATTTATGTGAATAACGCATAAAACCTATAAAGTATTTTATAATAGTTTTATCAAGCATTATATATAACTCTATGATTAATAAATGGCATTAATGGCATCGGTTTATTTTTATAGAATCTATAATCGTAAAATCTTACAGTTTTGGATTTTAAGAGTAAATATATTATTATTATGTTATAACATGTAAAAATTTTCATTTTACATAGTTTCATTTTTTAACATTGAAAAGTATATGTCGAAGATTTCTATTTTCTTTGTGATATTCTATAACTATATTTACAAAGTAAATATGTTTTTTTTAGTATGTTTGTGCATATAAGATTTAACATTGAGATTTCCATATTCTTTATAATCTTTGTTTTTCAATTTATAAAATTTCTTTTTTTGTCATTCATATTTTTTATAAATTAAATTTTCAATTTACTGTCTACTTTTTGTTTTTTTATTGTTTATAGTTTCTCTATTTTCTTTTCTAATTTTATTTTATAATTTTTAAAAATTATTATAATTCTTTTTCTCCTATCTATTTGGGATTATTAGAATTTTATTTTTTACTATTTGGTTAGTTGCTAGATAATTATTTTGTTGGGGAAATTGCAAAAATACCACTTTTTATGTGCACATTTGCAAAAAGGGGCAATTACAAAAATGCCACTTTTTATGTGTATTTTTACAATAATGCCACTTAAGGGTGTCCATTTACAAAAATGACACTAATTATAGAATTATAAAACCTATATCTAAAATTCTAAACCTTAAAAAATATTTTGACACCTAAAACTCCTTAAACACTCAAAACTAAACCCTAGTAGATCATAATTAACCCAAAAATAAATAATATAAAGAAAAAATAATTTTGAAAAAGTGGCATTTTTGTAAAGATTTCAAAAGTGTGGTATTTTTGTAAAGTGGCACTTGGAAAATGGCATTTTTTAAAAATTTCTCTTCTAAAAATGTCATTTAGGAGTGTTCATTTGCAAAAATGCAATTAATTATAATTTTTTTAACCCTATATCTTGAAATTCTAAGCACTAAAAAAATTTTTAACTCATATTTTTCCTAAACCCTCATAACTAAACCCTAATCTATTATATAATTAGAGAGTTTTCTCTTCATTTAGAATGTCCACATAGGCAAAATTATTTCTTAAAACATTTAGTATGAAAATGTTCATTTAATACACACTAAATCATATTTATATGTTGTT